CGATCCCAATACGAAGTTCGCGAACATCAGGGATATCCATCGGGCTCAAATCGAAGCGGGTGAAAAGGAGGTTATCACGGCTGAATCCAGCGACTCTGAATGCCCTAGTGAGGCTGGCAGCTGTATTGTAGTGGGTGTGGTTGAGGATCAATAGTTAATAGTAATGAGGAGGTTGGGTTGTGATCCCATCGTTTTTGTGGTGCCAGAAACAGGGGGGTGCCAGGAAGTGGGTATGTTGACTTACTGAGCGGTAGCAAGGTCTCGGCGACGGTGTAGACCCACTCCATCGCCACCCGGGCAGCAACAGATCCGTCTTGCTCGCGGGGCCAGACACCGGTGATGACGCAGGCAAAGTCCTAGTCACGGCAGCCGAAGGCGGTGGCTGATACCGGCACGTCACGGATTGCTCCGCCGCCTTGGAGGAGGTGAAGGTAACTGAGCGGAGAGGGGCGAGTCCGGACGGCTGATGCTAACGCGCTTGCAACCATGGCACTTCCGATATCCTTGAGGAATAGGCAGCGTTTGAACGAAGATGTCTTGCCTCCAGCGTGACCGCCGTGCATACCTGACATGTACATCTCAGTCTCAAAGAGGCTGACGCTGTCAACGATCTTGCTGTTGTGCTCCGGACCCAGAATCGTGGCCACGGGTGTGGGGATAGGCATGGGTGTTCTAGGCACTTCCCCAGCAGTCGAAGCTTCGTACATGGTAACGCCGAGATGGAGTTTTCCAGTGTCCCAGTATAGATAAGCGTCAGCAGAATTATGCCGAGAAAGTTGACTGGCAATATCCCGGTCAAACTCGGCAAGCTTGCGTTGCGCCTCATCGCCGTCACGCAGCGGTATGACCCAGTTCCTGACCAAGAACGCTGGGGCCGGCTGTGCCGCAAAAACAACGCTAATGACGATCCCAAAGTTGGTTCCCGCTCCTTTGATAGCCCATAGCAGTTCTTCCTCGTTCTCTGGGCGTATGGCACCGATTGGCTGGTGTTGCGCAGGTACATGACCGATGCATAGAATCTTTGCCGAGTTGACGCTGACGACAAGCGCACCGACAATAGCGTCACAAGCGAGCCCGTGAAGCCTGGACAGATGTCCGATGCCGCCCTGAAGCCACAAGCCTGCTCCAACACTTGGCCGAGACCCCAGAGGCACAGTGAGCCCCTTTGCCATGGTCTCGCGGATGATGTCTCCCGTCTTGCTACCGGCACCGGCCATGACCAAGCGTCCGGCTTCCCCTGTAACAACATGGACATGATCGAAGGCGCTCATGTCAATGGCGACAGTTTGAGGCCAGACGCAATGACCGCTGTGTCCACCACCCACGACTGTCAACGCAGTTCGGTGCTCCAAAGCCCATCGAACACACTCCTGAACTTGATGAATGTGTCCTGGTCTGATCATAGAGGCGGGACAATAGAGACGAGCTTCCCGGTTCTTGACATGCACGTCCCCAGCAGTTCTCGGCAACTGTGAAGTCAATTCTGGTAGCGCGGTCGAGTGTCGCGAGAAGGTCATCATGATATCAGGCGCAGCGAAGACGAGGTCCTCAATGTCGCGGCGGCCGACTGCGCGGCAATTTTCCCGCCATTCTTGTAGAACTTTGTCAGACTTTGGTACAAAGCCTGCAATGAATGAGGCGAAAGAGTCGAGCGAATCATTGGTGTCTGCTACGCGAACTTTACCGGTCGGGAAGTTGGAGGTTAGATGAGGGACCGGACTAGCCAGGCCGAGCGGGCCATCTCTATGGAAAAGTATGGCTCTGCTGTTTGCTGTGTGTTCGTCGAGAAGACCAAGTGCGGCACAGATATAGTCCTCTTTAGGGGTCATGCCGTACATGCTGTGACAAAACAGAACGATATCAAACTTATCGTCTCCCAGGGCCTTGACTGAATTCTCAGGATCGAATGGAGCCTTCCTAATGTCGGGGCCCGTCTCAAGACATGGCAGGGCAGCCTCCTCAGTTGATAGAAGGCCTGCTTCTAATCTCGAAGCAAACAGACTGTTTGGCTCAAAAGCAGTGTACCGTTTGATCTTTCGCTTCATATCATGGGGCAGATCTTCAAGCACGCTCCGCGGTCCAGGTCCAATCTCTAGAACCGAGATGCCCAAACGCGGGCGAGTAATTGGGGTGAGGAGCTGACATAGTTGCGGGAGGATGAAGTCTCGGTATGCCGTACATCTAGAACTTGGTTCGAAGAAACTAAAGCCAGCGCTGTATTGTGCATCAGATAAAGGCTGGGGTGCTACATGTACTAATCCATGGGATGCGGCCTGCTGCTTCAGATCGCGCTTGAGAGAATTCAATGTTGCCATTGTTAATGTCGATGAAACTGCGAGGCTTCTAATTGTGAGAGAAGATACTGTTTCAATTTTAAAGAAGCAAAGGGGGCCATGGCGCTTTATACAATACAGGAACTGAGCAAACAGGCTGGGCGCTGCGGCGGCTTGCCGCAATGTTGAAGTTTGTTTTCTCCAGTTGCGTCGACGCGGGGTCACACAATATCCACATCAAGTTGTCTCTGCTATTATTTCAGCTGGCCTCCGGCATATGGTAGTTGCTATGGCGTCCTCATGACCAATAACTAGCCGGCGTCATGCATGCGGCCTGCCGTGTCATGGTGTGAGCAATCTTTGCGCCAATACATAGCCCTGGTGTCCGCCGATCCCTTATGTGAGTTTCGACTGATCTCGAATCTTTGTGTCACTTTCAGGCCTTGATTAATGAGAAAGAAATTAGGGACGGGTAAGCCAAGACTTCCTCCCACAATTCCGTTCAATTGACCGGCAGCCACACCAGCTTCGGAACGAACCCTGACATTTGCATATACTCTCCTTCCTCAACCTTTTTGCCTGTCTCTAGATCTGTTACAATGATCCTCAACTTGTCTCCTCGAGAGAGCTGATCCTGGAAACTCTCAGCGGGGAGAACTCTAGTTGCACTTGGCTTGCGACATCTGCCTTTGTTCGGCGGCCCTGAATCCTCTCTTCCTCGACCCATCCCTAGCCGTGTGACCTGACCGATAAAACCGTGGTTTCCCATAGCATCTGAACACGTTGAACTGGTTTTAGGGGTAAAAATGTCTATCCTATAGCTGGATACAGTGCAACCAACTTCAGTAAAGACAACATAAGGAACGAGCCTCTTTGAGCCAGAACTGTCGGGAGAGTCAATGTCGAAAGAATCTTTCTTCTTACCCGGCAAACCACACGGCAGGACAATAGCTTGTCCCCCACTTGATACAGCAGAACGAATACCTTTCTCTTCAGCTGTTTTGATTGTGGAAAAATCAGAGCTTGCAGGCTCGCCATACATGTAGCCTAATGCACGTGTGTCTTTGGCCATATCACCAATAGTGGTATAGTGCCAGCGGCGCGTGTCATCATAGTTGACGCTGGTCCCATTGTTGATAAAAGGCTGCAGTGGAAACCGAGAAGTGAATTGGTTCTCTGGGTTTGCGTCCATGAAAACACCGGCCAGTCGATCCATGTTGGCGTGATAGGATAAGAAGATGGGGTCGAAAGCAGTATAAGTGTTGTCGGCCTAGCGTTATGTTAGTAATAGCGACCAGCTCAACCAGGGACTAAACAGCTTACCATGTCGTTGCCAACCCAGCCATGAAAGTTGTCGTGAACTTGCTCAAACAGACCATCGAAGTCGAAACGAAACGGATAGTCTTCATCAGGCTGCTTGTCGCTGAAATCAACAATATTTGCCCACGGTTTTCCGAAGTGCTGAGCTGATTCTGATGTTGTATAGGTTGATTGCTGCAGGGCATGGGATATTTGCTCATGGTAAATTTTGAATAGTTCAATTTTTTCTTTCCAACCAGGAGCTGTTGGGCCTTGCGTCAATATTGGATTCCGCGTCACGGTACTAAAATTACCCGGTCCATCTTTTGACTTTCCGTCCAAGGCTTTGGCAAAGCGAAGCGGATTCGGTCTGGTTTCGCCTCCCGGGTGTTGATAGGTCTGCTCAAGGAACATTGGAGGAATTCCAGCGAACTTGGATGTTGCACATGCAGCTTCTTTCGCATATCCATTCCAATAAGGAATAGGGAAGTCGATCAATTCTTCCACATATCGCAGATAAGCTCGATGCCAAAGGAACGTGGCTTCTTGATAGTGAAGACACCAGTATGCATCTACCATATGTGTTTAGCTAATTCCCTTTCATTTAATCCTGTTATTTCATTAGGATATCAAACTCACGAAGAAGTCCCAAGTCCTGCCATTTAGACCCTAGTTCCCGAGCGCCGAGAATGTCGTCTAGCTTGGCCTGGTAAACCACGAGTTCCTCGCGGCTCAGGCTCATGATGTCTTTCCTCACTCTGAAGGTTATCGGCGGGTCATTTGGCTCAGGGATGACTTGGACAGAGGTCTTTGTAGGCTGACAGTCGGAGTCTCGCGGGAAACCATTGTTTGCCCACATGCGAAATGTCTCGAGAGCACTCTCTGGCCAATAATGATCTGGGTTTCGAGTTACGGGCATTGACTTAGAGCGAAGATGTCTGTAGATACCAAGTGCCCTTTTCCTGACGTCGTCATAGTTGGAAAGGTCCCATTTGCCCCAGTAAAGCATTTCGTTTATCCACCTTTGACCTATTACATCGGGATTCTTGGTCACCCAGTAGGGCGCTTTGATGAGAGGAGAGATGCCGTCCTCCCAGTTGGGTGTCCTTTGAACGTCTTCCATAGATACCGGGGACTTAAGACTAGTCATCTTTACCAATAAGAGAGTGTGATGGGTAAGAATTTGGATTCAATTAGAATGGAGGGAGAAATTGACATCGCTACAGGCTGAGCGACAAAGGGAGATTTTTGAGGAATGAAGTATGCGATCATAAGCAGTCAGTAATCCAACATATATAGTGCGGGGTCCAAAGACACATCTTGATTGATAAGTCTGCCACCATTCTGTGCTCTAAACAAAGGGTCACAGATAAGGCGCACCTCACGAGTTCCAAAATGGCTGGCATTGATATGAGTGGCGGGCTGAAATCCCGTCTTGGCACACAAAATTCTCTTTGGTTGCATCATTGATTCTTCATAATCGATCAGTCGCTGAGAGACATACTTTCTATCAGTCACTCGAAAGTCTGGAACCGTAGATCTCCAGTTGCGTCTTAGGTGGCGTCGAGCTAAGCTAGGCAGCTGAGCTTTCTGCAGAGTGACTATTGAAAGCATGTAGCTCGCCGAATACGAGACATAAGAACATGGCTGTATGCAGTTAAAATTCCATGAAGAAATCTCGCATTGGTTTATAGCAGACATCGTCACTGTAAGCTGATAGTGTAATGGGAAATACAGGGTCTTCGACTGTTAATCTTATATAAAGCAACAAGCCGTTTGATCCAATCAGCTTATATGCAGCTTCAGTCAGGGAAATATGAGCTCCAACATTGGCGAGTTCTTTAAGAAGTTTCATGTTGGGGGCCTAACGAATACAACTTTAAGGATTCAATACTTGGGTGCAGTCAAAGCCATCAATCGGCAATTTCTCTCGGCTTCCTGCCCATTGGCTTAATAGATAGCCTTCGGAGTGATGGATTGGTAGTCCGGCCCGTTAGGAGGACCGGGCTCTGGCATCCCCATATAGCCCGACGGTCCATTCTTTGCTTCTACTCTCAGATCCATTGCCTCTAGATCAGAAGTTGTGACAACCGCATTGAATTCAACCCTCGGGTCGCCCTTTCGATCAGAAGGTGTGACAACCGCATCGACCTCTCCCATCATCTTGAAGAGAACAGGACTCCCCAAAACCTTGGGCTCAATAAACGGCTTCTGGAGGTACGGCTCAGTGTAGGTAAGTGCAGGCTGAGGTTTTCCAGGCCACGCTTCTCCATCCTTCCAAGGCTCTGGCTTCGGGCCAACAACGCCAGAAACGCTCATGAAGATGTAATCGGCAAATTGGCTTCCATAATGCACGTAGCGACCTCCGTTGTTTTGGTCAAAAAGATCGCTCAAATTAAGGTCGCGGGTATTGTCATCAGTCTTGAGACCTTTGGGAATAGACACGCGAAGATGAAGGCCCATGTTCTTGGTAATGTCACCACGGTCACACCAGTCAAAGACCCCTTCGGGAACCGGGACCATTTCTCGAACGTTTCCTCTTCGCTTACCGGTGCGATCTAACAGGAAGGACGAGAAGTCTGCGTCGTACATGTACAGAGCGACAGGATCTTTGACAGAGATTGTGACCGGGATGTGACACACTGTATCGCGAGCCAAACGACAGACTTCGTTGACTGCGGCACCAATCTACAGATCGTTAGCCTCGAATAGTTCTCACCGAACAGCAACAGAGTCTCTCACAGTCGGGTCAGAATTCCTGCTCGGATTACCATAGGCAGATCCATCTCCGCAAAGGGTAAGCATGTTGGTAATAGGTTCACCGTATACCAAGTCGGTCCTTGTGACAGTGGCTTGAGCAGCGATGTCAATCTCGGCACTAAGGCTATTGTTGATTTGGACGAGGTGGGCAATGGTGCCAGTATTGGTGTGGCCATTCCACCTGTTATAGATGTTGTATTTACCTTCGTCGTCCACTAGGTGATCTCCTTTAATCTCATGTGCAAAATCGGGGTTCAGCTTCTTATAAATGTTGAGGATCTTGTTGTTCCTCTCATGCTTTTGGGTTGCTGGGTTCCTAATGGGAGTTTCGGTCAGACTGGGATTATACTTCGCAAGTTCTTCCCAGTACTAGTCATCAGTCAGTATAAAGATCATCCTTGTAAAGAATAATTGGCTGCAACTTACCTCTGGACCTTCGCAAGTGAAGCTCACAATCTGAACATCTCCATCAACCTTTTTGGTAGACCATTCCAAGTATTCGTCCATCACCCAACGATCCTCCCTTTGTCGAGGTACCTCAACAACTTCATCCTCCCCCGTCTGCTCGTTCTTCTTATGGAACTTCAGAATCTCAGGATCCAAGCGTCCTGGAGGAGCTCGCTGGTTCTCCGGATCCTCCGCGTATGCCCATCGAGCGTCATCCGTAGGCTGCTTAATTCTGACCTGATAACCGTTTAGACGAGTGCATAGAAGGCTGGTGAATAACTTGCATTCAGAGGGAAGCCAACCCAAGTGATGGGTACAGGCGGCAGAGACGAGTTGTAGGCAAAGTGACGAGGGTTGAAGAACTGAGTAAGAATCTTCCTTCCTGGGAGTCTGCCTGCTATCTCGTCACCGAACCAACCGTCAACAGTCTTGGACCATCTTTCAAGCTGTTCACCCTCAAAATCATCCAAGAAGGCAGGAGGATGAAACTTGTCGAGCTTTCTGAGTTCAGACATTTCGGCGGAAAACTGACGACAGTGAAGATGGGAGTACGTGAGAAGCGGAAGTTAACTTGTGAAATGAAGTGCATATCTAAAGAGAAATGCCTTTGCTCTATCTTCTGGACATGCTCGAATACTATGAAAGTAACAATCTTCCTACAATTGGCCGGAAACAATGTTCCGAGCTATGTGATACACCATGCATACATTTGTTCCAGATTTTCAAGTCTGGCCGCTCTGAGGCTGGCTGAGATCGAGCGGCTGATGAACCTAGCCTACTGCATTTTTTGTCATCTTACAAGCTCGCATTGAGACACAGTCGTTGACTCTGATATGTCTCATCATCCCATAGCGTACGTTGACGAATCATACGCTCATCGAGAGTTGATAGTGCAAGACAGAGGCTTACGTCGTCACAAGCCTTTACCCATGTTGGGAAAGGTTATGTCCGGTCCATAGTCTGGTGCGTGCGGGGTATCGCCGATGTTTTTGGTTGCATATCATAAACCACCTCACAAGCTAATGAATGGGCCGAACCTAGCCTCTGACGGAAATGGAATTCAGTCTCTCTAGAGCAAGCCACAAAAGGCTCGTTTGCTAATCGGACACATTCAACTGGTTACGAAGATTCAGCTCAGAGGACATCCGCATACCTATTTGAATCACACACTAGCGTTTCTTAAGGCACTGCACATCTGTATCGCTGGCTTCAATTGCCTCTAGAGTGAGACGTGATGTGATGAAGCTTGATGGGGTTGCTTGCAGTGTATCAGCTGTCTCACCAATGCACTTGGCTACTCGCGTTCTTTTGCCCTGTTCCGGTAGACATCCAGAGTTTTGAACTCAATATAAATCTTCAAGCGCTCCTTGCCACACTTTTGCAGCAACTATTGTCCCATCACTCACACAAGACACAATGACTGACCCTAAGCGTGGGAACCATGAAGATTTCAACCAGAAACTCTGGTATCGAAAGTTCATTCGTGGAATAAAACCACAGACAAAAGAGCCGTATCCTGATGAAGACACGCCCGCCACGCCTGAACAACTCAATGCCGACTTCATCGATTATTGGGGCAAACGCCTAAAGACCGATGAGGCGTTCAGGAAGCACAACACGTACAATGAGCTAATGACCCAGTTTTGGAGTAAGTGAAACTTTCCCGTCAGGACTGATTGACTCTAACGTTAGGCAGATGATCCAGACATAATCCTACAGACTTACGCCGTTGCAGACGGTCAAACAGTCCCAAGGAACAAACAGAAGTCATGGTTTAGATCCGAGCTTCGTTTCATCTCCGTCATATTTCCCACTGATGCAAACCATAAGAAAGATGGCAAGGCACCAATCGGATCTGTTTCGTGGGCGCCCTGGTTTGTGCTTATAGCAGCGTAAGTAAACGGGTCAACAGTTTGCCGTCTTTCCGGCTAACACTTCAGCTCCTCTTTCATCGACTCCAAAAAGGATATCCTCCACATCATGAGTTGGTCGCGTGATGATGGCCAATTCAGGTACTATGCTGTAAGTTGATCTTCATTTCCTGTTAGGTGTTCAAAGCTGATGGAGATGGTAGCGCGATCTTATCATGAATGATGAAGCCAGAACTCAGCACGGCTGGGTATATCTCTGCTCTTCGATGGATGCTTTCGATGCTCCAGGCAAGGCATATCTGGGTCCTCTAAATGGTCATGTCAATGGAGGAATCGTCATGAAAGAGATCCACAAGTAAGTTATCATCGGGCTGATATAAACCAAGGAGATTGCTGACGCGGTCATAGGCCTTGGATGCACTGGCTCGTTGGAGGTAGAGGAGTGACAGATCTTCTTGGTGAAGAGCTCATTCCAAAGCTTGAGAAGGCGAGCTGGCTCACTCATCCTGGATTCCCCCCTCTCTACGGTGCAAGTGTGCAATCTGGTGAGACTTTCGAAAGAATAGTGCTGGACTCTGTCAGAGTCTGGTTTACTAGCCGGCGGAACAAGGATTTCTCGACGAAGAAAGGGGAGACTAAAACATGCCCCGATAACATACAGCGTTGGGCAGCACATTTTTTCCTGACGACCAACATCAACATCGCTGCTACATCCAACAATGCCAACATTGTACCATCAGATCACTTCTTCAGCTATGAAATGCTTAGAGGATACAGCGATCTCCTGGTGAGTCATCTTCATTCCACTGCCATTTCTTCTCGCCGAAAAGGCACACCATTTGTATTGTACTTATTGACAACTCCAGCCAAATCGAAGTCTTGATGACGACAAATGGCTAGCTGCCCATATACTCAAGGAGACTCCAGCTGCATTGACGGCCTGGAACGAAGAACAGTTCAAAAAGGACAAAAATAAGTACCTGACTCAAGAGCAATGGTTTAGAAGGTACTCCATTTCATCTTTCAAGTATGACGGGCCGTCTTATCTCTGGGCTTCGCGGGAACTCAAGCTCTGCACCTTACAGGAGGTGGCCAATGTGAAAGACGCACAACTTGTTGTTCCAGCGAACAGCCTTTCCGGTGGGATCTTCATGGGAACTCTCGAAAATGGCAAAGAGGATATTAATGGAGGAGCCCCAGTCAACTTCGCCGTTCAGCAATGGGGCGAAGGGGATAATCCTTGGGTTATCCTTCAAAGCTCTGTGGATGATGCGCATGGCGTATGGACTGCTCAGAAGATATTCTTGGGAAATGACAAAGACTCGGCACGATGTCAACTCTCTTCCGAGAAAACCTTCAACGCCTTGCAGATGGTTGACTTTTGGAATCCGATTTATTCCTGGAGACGTCTCAAGTTGATGCAGTACATCCCCGTCGAGGCCGAACTCTTGGATACGCCGACAACCGACCCAATTACCGGTGAATCTGTGTACAGTTACAGCCTCGAGAAAAACTTCATCGATGCTGTCCGGAAGAGGATGGCCGACAAAGGGGACCTGGACAAACTTCAAGACGAATGGCCAGGGGCTGAGTTCCTGTGCAACTTGGACAAACCCCTCATTGAGCATCAAATTCGGATTTCCAACTACACCAACAAAGTGGCGGAGAACTTGAACGAGGCGACCTGGATTCTGGAGTATTTGAAGCTTGCCGAGTCTCGACGACGCATGTTTCGTCCGATGCCAATGAACTTTTTCGGCAGCAACATTCCATACTGCCTGGCCATGCCGTTCAACGATCCATGGCTGGAGATGACTGAACAGGCTTCCGTACGACAAATTCCTGAACGGGGTGTTGACGTCTTGAAGGCCTGGCTGGGATCGCTGGCTGGTAGCGATCCAAAGGTTATCCCCAATCAGAGTCTTGGGGATCTCAACAAACTCATTAGTGACCGTGCCGAAAGTGGCGCAGATAGTTTGCCGGTTAAACTTTTGCCTAGGCCGTCCACGATGCGAATAGCTTATCAGTGTTACTATTGGTATCCCTATTACAGGGTAGCTAGTCCGAACCGTGGGTTAACGAAGAGATTAATTAAACTATATAAATTTCTATATAAGTATAAAAAAGAGGTTCTAATTATAAGTTAGGCTAGCTACGATAATTATAAATAGGGCCCCTAATTAGCCCCTATATAGTTAACTATATATTATAGTTAAATTAGACTTCTAATTTAATATTAACTTTTTTTTTTTTATTAATTTACTTATTATAATTAGAAATATAATTTAACTTCGGGCCCGTTTACTAAGTTATCTCTTTTTCTCTTTTTTTTTTACTCCTTTTATATAATTTATTTTTTTATTTATACGTTAACTTTTTTACTATTTATAAATTATTTTAACCCCTTATTAAGTACTATTTTTATAAAAGCGTTAGTAAGGTTATTATCCTTATTAATTTAATATATCTCGAGGATTTTATATTTTTTATATAATTACTTAAGGGCTATAATATTAATTATAAACCTCTTTTTTTTTATTATTTTTAATTTAATAAGGTATTTATATAGTAAGTAAAAATTAGTATAAACGACTATTAGGATTAATAAAAAGTTAAGTTAATTAATAATCTTTTTTAATATTATTAAAATTATATAAATAAGGTTAATATTATTAACTATACTATAAACTTCTAACGCTAAGATACTTCTTATTACTTATTTATTTTTAGTTAATAAGTAGTAAATTATATTATTATATATAATAAATTTACTCTTATTTATACTCTTATTAACTAAGATAATAATATACCTTAATTATAAAATAAGGTCGTCGTTATTTATAAATAACTTATTAATAAAAACATAGAGTTTATTAATAGCGAGGTTAATTAGGTAATAAATAAGGCCTTAATTAAGATTCGTTTATTATTATTTAAACTACTTATTAAATATTTCGATATTTTATTTATTTAGTTTTATAGCCTGCGCTATTTTAGTATAATTAAAAATTACTTTAGGCTAATATATATTTATAATATATACCCCTTATATAAGCTTAGTTTTATATTATTTTTTAATATTAATTATATTTAAGTTAATAAAAATAATTTTTTTACTCTACCCCTTTTATTAAAAAATAATAGTTTCTTTTTTAATTATAAGAATTCTATTATTAAATACTAATAAGTTATTTATTATAAAGACCTCTTTTAGCTTCGCTATAAAGCCCGCTTTTTAAAGCTCTTTATTTTTTTTTTTTATAAAATTAATATTAAATAAGCCTAATATATCGTCGGTTTATATTCTAACGATTTTAAATTATTCACTTTTTTATTTAAAGATTAGTAAATACGGGTCGTACGTAAATATAATTATTAATAATTAATTAATATAAAAATCGTAATATATAGCTTATTAATAAGTGCCCGATTTTATAAGCTTATATAGTAGTTTAAGTACTTTAATAATTATATTTTTTAGGTACTTACTAACTATTTCTTTTAGTAAGTAGGCTAGGATTTCTTTTATAAGCCCTATAGCTAATTAAGTATAAGCTTAAATAATATTATAGCTCTAAATTTTATATCCCTTCTTCTATAATAATACTATTAATATTATTATTAATCGTTAGTTATAATACTATATTATAAATAATTAAGTAAGTAGCGTCGCTTTTTTAACGTTACTATACTCCTAAATTATATACCTAGATTTTTTATATAGTTAGGGTATTCTTTTTTTTTTAATTTTACGTACTATTTATAATTTAAATATATAGAGATTTTTATATTTCTCGGGGTTATAAAGGATAAATTAATAGACTTCTTAATTACGTAAAGTATCTATTTTAATAAGATCTCATTTCTTATATAGCTTTTTAATAGTTATAATAATACCTTTTTTATATAGTTTAACTACTAGTTCGAAATTAGCTTTTTTTTTTATTATATAAAAAGTGTTAATTACTTTATTATTAATAATAAATTATCGCGTTAGGGCTTATTATCGTGGTTTTTTATAACGTTTTACTAGTAATATTAGTACTTTTTTAGTAATTTTCTTTTTCTTATCGTTTATTAATACTATTATAACGATTTTATTAAGGATAATTTTCTATACTTTTATTATTAGTTATATAGTTTCTTCTAGCTCTTTTTTTTTTTTTTAAGCTAAAAATTATCTCAATAGGATTTATATAATATAGTCTAATTATAATAATTAATATTTTAAATAGCTAATTATAATCTTTTATAACTACGTAAAAACGCTTATTAATAAAAATTAATTTATATAATTTAGCTTATTATTAAGTAATTTCGTACTAAACTTATATATCCGAATTTAGAAATATATTTAAATTAGCTCTTATATTAGGCCTATTATACATAGTAATTACCTCGTTAATTTATTTTTTTATACTTATTTTATATAGTACTCGTATTATTTTTTTAATTACTTAGGCTCGTTAGTTTATATTTAATAATAGTAGCGAGGTTAAAGTTATTTTTAAGTATATTTTAAATATTAATAACGTTAGTATAAAACCGTTAGGTTTTATAATATTATTATAATATTTAAGTACTATCTAAAGGTATTCGTTATTAGTAAAATTAGGATTTTTGTTTTTAATAATTCTAAACGCCCTTTTTAGCTACTAGTATGCCTTTTTTACTTTTTTAATACTATAGTACGCTTTTATAAGCACGACTTTTAGCTATATACTATAAGCTATTATATTTTCCTTAAATTCTATTAATTTAAAACTTATTTTAGCGTTAGTTTTAATACTATTTAGTAGTCTTTAGTATATATTAATTTAGCTTTTTTATAGGGCTATTTATATTGTTTTTATTTATAAATCCTAAAGGAATTACCTTACTTAAAATAATATAACCTTATTAATTATATATAGGACCGGTCGATTATTTAAATAAAAAATATTAATAACGATTTCTTAATTAAAATTAAGCTTATTACGTAATTTAAATTTAAATTTACGTAGGCTCTGCGTATTTATTTAGTATTAGTAATATACTTTTATTAACTATTTTAGTACCCCTATTTTAATATCCTTATTACTTAATTATTTTAAGAGGTTATATAGCTTCGTAACTAATAGGTACCCGAATTTTTAGTATAGTTATTTAAGCTTATTTTTTATTAAATAATTAATTAATTTCGTATTATTAGTAAGCTTTATAAACGTATACCCTTATTATTATTTAACTATTTTAAAGTACTTATTACTAAAGATTTTATTTTTTATATTATTAAATATAATACTTAGTTAATTTATATTTTTTAGATATAAAAGAAATAGGGTATTAATAAGTAGAATATAGAAAGTTATTATTTTAAAGTACGTTTCTATTTTTACTATACCTAGGGTAATAATTTCTTTACCTAAGCTAAAGCTAATTTTTATAATACTTATTATCGACGTATTAAGTATTACTAGCGCGATTTTTTATAATACTTAGAATTACCCCTTTTTTTTTATTAATTATTATAATGCCCTAGTATTTAGGATAATTTTATAAAAATTATCTAAGCTATATTTTTTATTTATATAGAATACTTATACGGGCTTAGTATTTAAGTAATTTAAATAATATAAAAAGGACCCCTCTAGCTACCCTTAGAATTACTTAGTACTATTTTTTTTTTTAATATTAATAAAAGTAATATCTTCTCCTTAAGTATTAAGAGAATAGAATTTTATATTATTAAATTTATCCTTTTATTTACTTTTATATTCGTCATTTAAGGGACTTTCCCTTATTATTTATAAATAAAAGCTTATTTATTAAGAGCTTTTACTACTTTTTATTTATTTAGTTTTGTATATTTTTTAGAGGTTAATAATACGAAAAATAAGTTCTTAATATTATTAATTTTATTATAATTTAATTTATTAGTATAGGGAGCGAGATTTTTTTTATTTTTTAAATTTTTTAGGGATAGTGGATATTTTAAGCTACTACTTTAGTTACTATTACTAAGTTTTATACCCTCGGATTTATTTTTATATATAATAAGGAATTAACTAAACTAACGAGGGCTAGTTTTATTATTTATTATTTTTAACTTTTTATACTATTTATATAATTTAATACGCTCTTTCTCGGAGTAGTTACTTAATTAAAATTTATTTTTTTTATAAATAAAGTATTATTTTTTTTATTACTTTATTTATAAGTTAAATTTTTACTTATTTAATAAATTTAAACCTTCTTACTAACGATTACCGTACTTAGTTTTTTTTGTTTTTTATTATACGTTTAGTTAACTTAATATTATTAATAAGGGCCGTTATATATTTAAAAGTGGGTTTAGTATAATATTCTTATTTTAATATTAAAACTAGATCTTAGTTTTAAGTAGAGCGTTTTATAGTTTTTAAGTACTTAGTATAGGGTTATTTTTATTTTTAATATATACTAAATTATAGTATAAAAATATTTAAATTTTTACTCGTTAGTCCCTTTATTTAACTAGGTTTTTATTAACTTATTAATTTAATTAATAAGCTCTTTTAAAATTTTTATTTATAATTTTCTTTTTATTATTCTAACTATAAATATAAAAAAAATTATTTATAACTTAGATAGGAGCTTTAGATTCTTATTATAAGTCTCGAAATAGCTTTAGATTACGTTAATAATACCAAAAAAGTTATTCTAATCGAGATTATATATTACTTCGTAATAATAATTAAAGGCTTTACTTATTAATACAATATTAATTATTAAATAATACTAATATTCCCTAATTCTAACTTTTTCGTAATAATTATAAAATATTATTAGGGTTTTTTATAAAACTTTATACTTTTTTTTAAAATATAATTTTTTTTTTAAAAAGATTTTTTTAAGATTTATAAATTACTTCGTATTTATTACTATATTTTTAGTATTTATATATAATCCCTATATTATTACGTATTATTAGTAATTTTAAGTTATTTATTTTTTTTTATTAACTAATTAGTACTAAATTTTATATTAATAATAATAACGAGCTATAAATTAAAATAAATAGAATTATTAATTATTATATATTTAGTATTATATTTTACCTCTATATATCTTTTTATAATAATAAATTACTATTAGTAATTATAAGAAAAAAATCTAAGTTATTTACCTTTTTTTTAAATTTATTAAAATAATTATACGCTCTATTAACTTATACTTAGTTTTATAATATAAATTTCTTTTTTATAATCGTTATTATTAAGATTTTATATAGTTTTTATAATGATAATTATATTAATAATACCCCTTATTTATAGAGGAATTTATTAATTATTTTTATAATTTTTAAACTTACGCTTATAAACTATTTATTTAGTTAATAACTAAGGTCGTTTACGATTTTATAAAATAGGGGTTACCCTTATAACCCCTTTTTTTTATAAACCTTAGTTAAATAGATTAATACTATATTAATTTACTTATTATTAGGCTAATTTATAATTCTATATATTTACGTTTTTTAATAATTTAGATTAATATTTACTTATTTATAAGGGATTAGGATTTTATTTAAAATCGGGTTTTTTTCTTTTTTTTTTTATTCTAATTTACTAAGGGTCGTGCTTTAGCTTATACTTATATTAGTAATTACTAACGTATTTAATTTTAATAAAAATATATTTAATCTGCGCACTAGTTATAATAAATTCGTATTTTTATTACCTAACGAATTTATTAAAATCTAAGTAATTCCTATTTCTTTTTACCGTTTCGTTACTACTCTCGTTTTTATTATTTTTAATAATTACTACTATTTTTTTTAAATTACTAACTATTGTACTTATTAAGATCCTCTTTTTTATTTAATATAAAAAAATAGGTTTTAATAGTTCTTTTTTTAATAATAGTAATAAACGTTTATATTATTATAAAAAAATATAATAATTAGTCTTAGGATCTTTATTAATTATTAATTTTTATTATTTTTTATATTTCTAACTTCCTAAGCCTCGTACTCTTTATAATTTTTAAATTATTTTTTTTTTAACTTACTTTTTTTAAAATAGTATTTTAAAAGAATAGTTAGAAATAGATACTAGGTATTTTATAAAAGAACTAAATAAGTTATTAGGAGTTAGATAGGTTATTAAGTATAGTTAATAAAGTTAAGCTTTTTTTTTTATAAGATTAAGGATTTAAAAGATTTATTAAAAATACTTATTACTTTATTATTTATATTAAATAGGGTTAATTATTTTAGAGGTTTTTTTTTTTATAACTTTTTAATACTTTATTTTATATTTTTTAAATAATTTTTTTCGTAGCTTAATTATTATTAAGTAATTATTACTTATTAGTAATTCTTTTTATTATTTAGTTAATTTTTTAAAATTAATAATTTTATACTAAGAACTTAATATAAAAAAGGAGCTTTTTAATAGTTTTTTAAAAGATTTTTTTTTTTTTTTTAAAGCCGTATTTTTTTAGCTTTTTTTTAGGCTAATTATAATTTTAATAAGAGGTCGTAAGATTATTTTAAAGTAGCCGCTTTTTTTTTAAGTTAATTTTTAAAATTTATAATATTCTTAACTTAATATTATTAAGACCTCTAAATCTCCTTTTTTTTTATTAAACCGTTTTTTATATTATATTTTTAAGTAATATTTAGGAAGTAATTAAAGGGGTTATAAAGAGATTATTTAAATTATAAGTTTTAAAGTTATATTTATAAAATCCTCGTAATATTAGGCCTTTTTATATATTATAAATCTCTTAGCTTAATAACTCTTATATAAGTTCTTATTATACTTATTAAGAATATTTATATTTAAAGATCTTTTTTTTTAATTACGTAGTATTTTTTTATATTATATTATTAAGCTTATTTATTATACTAATTAATTAAGTAAGTAGCTATTACTTAAGTATTTTTTTTTACTAATTTAGCTAGTTAATTTCTAATTATAAGCTAGCTATAAAAAAGTTATTTAGTAAAAAAGCTACTTAAAATAATAATAAAAGACTAGTTATTTAAGTAGTTTTATTAATTAACGTAGTTTAATATAGTAAACGTTAACTTTTTATAAGTAGTAAAGGGTTATAATTATTTAATTTTATATAATATTTAAGAATTACTTCTTTTTTTATTTATTTTTATAAAGTTATTTAGTACGAATTTCTTATTTTATATAGTATTAAAAGGTCGTCTTTTTTACATAGTAAAATACTTTACTAATTTATAATAATAGAATTTAATTATTAATTAGTATTAGTATTTTTATTATAGGGTAACTAGTTTAAACTATAGGTTAATAAAGAGATTAATTAAATTATATAAATTTTTACGTAAGTATAAAAAAGAGGTTCTAACTATAGGTTAAGCTAGCTATAATAATCGTAAATAGGGCCCCTAATTGGCCCCTGTGCAGTTGGCCGTATGCCGTGGTCGAATTAGACTTCTAATCTAATAGTTATATTGCGGTATCGAATCCTGAGACGTCAGAACGGCCTCATAGTTGTCCTTTTATGACGGGAGAACACTTAGCTTCTTTGCACACATCAGTGAAAGCTTAAATTTAGCTATTATTGACGACGTTATATTATTGAAGCACCCAAAGAAGAAGTTGATAATGCGACGCATTCCAGCGCGTCATGACCTTCGTTTCATACTCTGTTCTTTTAAACTAGCTAGAAGTGGCCTTCAGTGCGCGTGATGATCACTTCAATTAGCAACGGCCCAAATCCGACCTCGCCGGCAGTCTGAAATCCAAGACCTTGGAACCACAAGTCGAGCTCGACTTGAACACTTGTCCGGCCCTAGGTTGAATGCTACCGTTACTGTTACACCAAATCTTGCAATGATTATTAAAGCGCTCTAGAAGCCGTGGCTTCAAAAATTGGCTTGTTAGTCTTCTTTCTCAGCATCAGCAGTTTAAGAACACTCTTACATGGGCCTTGAACCGCTGGCAAACATGGAGTACACTCGCTTGTACAACTATGCTCTACCCCTTAAGAAGATCAAACCGAGAATTGGAACGTATTGAGATGATGCGTATTTGAGAAACCATCGGCTTTTGGCCAATCACCACATTTGTGATCTGGGCCGAGTACGAAGCTGTTAGTGACGACGATGTTATTGTCAAGTACATGCGCCCATTTTGAAAAACTTCATATCGACCATATGTCTACCCCCTAGATTAGATTGGAGGCCTCAGCAGTGACTACGTACTGTAACGTTGGTTGGCTCAAAATATCAAAACATGTAGGTCTGACATTGGATGGGTGCGCCCATTTGCTGTATCAAAAGCTACGTGTATTAATATGATTCTTGCATCTTCCCGTTATTATATCGATACCTAGTGTTGTAAGATCCGCAGATATAGGGCCAAGTTACCCAAATTTGGTAAGACTACGCTGACAAGTCAGCCGTAAAGTCTCAACGACTTCTTGTCATCAGAAAGTAGCTTGACTGAAGCAAACTTATTCATCCATGCGTGTGATGTCTCGAAGATGCCTGCTCGAGTAATGATAGAGAATGAAGAGGAAATATAAATGTCTGTATGAAAGAAAGACACTTTTCACGCTTTTACGATACGGAAGTACTCACTCGAGTAGCACAGTGAATGGCTGGTGGAGATTTCGTCCGACATGAGCTCTCAAGGCAAAAACCGCCGCATCACGAACGCTCTGCTCACTGTACGGAGACCGCCAGCATCGATTCACTTCAATGTTTTTCAGCATTTATATAAACAATCTTGAAGCAATAGAACCAATCCCTTTTTCTCTCTTACAATCATCATCAAGAACGTTACAGATTCCTCAAACAGCCAAACCATCAAAAGCACAAAGCACACAGAACATCAGTCATCAAGACTAAAGCCCACAACCCCAGAACTCAACACAATGTCCAGAAGCGGCCGCAGCTCCAACAATGGGGACACACCCCCACGCCGTCTCTCCCCAGGAAACATGAACGGCTTCTCCGTCCTAGACGCATACTGGCACATGAACCAGAACGCCGCCCGCAACAACGCAGCTTTCACCGGCAACGCCAACAACGGCGCAGGCTTCTCCGGGCCAACCTACGGCGGCGGTCCCAGTATCAACGGTGGCTCAACTAACATCCCCTTTCGCCCCTCCCCCAACGGCATGAATGGGATCAACGGGAGCAGACAGCAGAACCCCCTGACTCCAATGCGTCCTGCTCCTCGCAGCCCGCCGTTCACCCACGCCGGTATTGGCCGCGGCTCTCCTGGGCCTAATATGAACGGCACAGGCTACGGTAGAGGTGGCCCCTCAAATGGCGGCGGCGGATTAGCATTCATGTCTGGTACCGCCGGTCGAGGTCCCCGCGCCAGCGATGCGTACCGGAACAGTCCTGCTGCTCCATTCGGTGTACCGGGCGGCTATGGGCGGGGCGGCGGTGGTTCTCCTACCCAGAACGGTATGACCAACGGATATACCAACGGCTATACTAACGGCTATCGCTCCGATGACGAGAGCTCTAATGGTAGTCCTACCCGTAGTCCCAACGGTCAAGGCCGTGGGCGTGGAGGCGGATACGGTGGAGGATATGGTCCCTATGGACCATACGGCCGCGGTGGCGGTGGTGTTGGCGGCGGCCGGGGCGGTCCTTCCTACTAGACTTTAGTAATGGCACGAGCGTCTCCTGCTTGGGTTCGAGAGCCTAAGATGGGGCTCTTACTGGTGATATAGAAAAGGGGCAAAGTCAACAGCTCCTTCAGTATAAAGTTTGCATTCAGTAGTAGGTAAAACTGGTTGCGAGACCGTAGACAGTCTAGCCGAATAGAAGTAAAATCCATCAACGTGAAAAACTCGCCATGTGTAAATTTGTTGTGTTACTGATATGTGTATTCACCCAGTCAACTGAATACGCCACCAATCAAGCCCAAATAGACCCCCTCAACTCCAATGTTGTCACCAGCTAGCAGGCGCCCGTCTAGGTCGACGGGTCAGGTCAAACTGGCTGGGTGGTGGAGTGGTTTATGGTCAACAATCAATTACGCCCACAGCCTACTCGACGACAGGCTACCGAGATCCCGAGTTCGAGTCCCAGCATGAGCACCAAGAGATGTAGCCCCTAAATCGGCACCGGGGGGGTGAACTCTTTTTTTCGTCCCGGCTCCTTATAAGTAGGAGTAAGAGTGGTCTTTCTCTTTCCTTCTCTATAAGACAATGATGATCGACATACGCATACGCACACTAACTAAGTACCTTTGCTTACTTGATGGGAGGTCGATCCTAAGGTTAGGCAAACGGACTGGGAAGTCTCTAGATTATAGAAACACCATCAACATTGGGTTTGCAGACTATGTCCCTCTATCGCATGCATTTATTTCTGTATAACCAGCATTGCATAGAACTAGGTATCATTTTCAAGACAACGCGTCTCCCGCCAGCAATGCAACAACAGTTCGTACCGCCGTCATCGGTCCCTCATTACCCTGAACAAGTCTTTCAAAAACTTTGGACGCTGCTGCCAATGAACCGCGCTCGTCACCTAGACGCCCTAGCTGATGTTAGTCCAATACGTGAAGTAAGGCAGCCTTGGGGGGTACTCACACTTGCCGGGCATGCCAATGACCAGTCCAACCTTGCTTTGCGCCTCACCCGTCCAGTCAAAATCAATCCGCCACTGTAATCTCAAACACGATGTTTCTTCCTTCACGGCACCCGGTATCGGAATCTCGTACGCTGTTCTTCCCAGATGAGGCAGCAGTACTGAACGAGGCAGGTTCTCAGTCCGATTTTTGTCTGTGGCACCATCCGCATCTTGACTATTTTCTTCATCGTCATCCTTTCTCCTTCGCTTTTTCCGTCGTGTCCGTATCCTCGCCACGCTCTGCGCCAGCTTTTCTTTGTCGCCGAGTTCGGTGTCGAGAATATGCCAAACGTTCGCCCTCTCGACGGCGACTCTGTACCACTCGGACATGGCCCAAGTCACCACGCTGACGTTCCGGTTCATGTGAGTGTTGGAGCCTCCGTTTGTGACCTTTTCGACGAAAGGGCCGAGCTCCGCGACGGCTGCGGGGTCCAGGCGGGGTACTGCAAGCTCTTTGATTTGAAGGTTCTCCGTGTCGACAGTCATTTCCATCTTGGCCATGAAGAGACCCGCCGGATTAGCCGACCTAATAACGATGTTGTGTTTCCGTAGTAGAGGATCGCAATCGCTTTCCTTTGGCAGCATGTTCGTTGTCGCTGAAATTTCGAAGGGGGTAAAGGCTTGAAGGTATGGAAGCTCGTCGACGGCCGTCATCTGTATGGGGTGGTGCGAAGTAGGAGCAGGAAGTTTCTCTGGCTCTTTTTTTGGTATGAACAGCTGAGCTTGCCCTAGGGATCCAAACGAAAGCCATGATGTTGGATTCATGGCCATGTCGAACCATCCTTGTGCAGCATCTGGCTTGGCTTCCTTCTCCGGTGGTACGAGGTGACGGCGGAGCAAGTCGAGGAGTTGATTTTGACGAGAGGGTCCCAAAGGCTGCACATCACCGGATCGGCGAGACTGCGCCTTACGTATTCGCTCGTTTTCATCAGTTGCAAGTTCCAGGTCGGCCTCCAACTTTGCGAGTTCCGCCTGAAGCGCGTCTCTCGTCTCCTTGAGCTCCGAGTAGGGATCAGGCACTGGTATTCCACGGGCCTCGTGTGTCCCGGAAGGGCCTGTTGTTGACCTTGTCTGTTTTTCCATCTGAGTCGGGCTCGTCTCTCGGACAGCCCGTGCCATGGCCTTCTTGGAGGGATCCTGCGCCTTTTGAGAGAACTCGGGTGGTCGAAGAGGCGGTTGCTTCAGTGGCGAGCTCTTAGACGGTGAAGGGTTTCGCCGCTTCTTTTTTGAAGGTGTATCGTGGATGCCACGAGGAGGTGTCGTGACCACAGGGTCAGCCTGGCCCCTTTGCGTAGGGGTAGGCGGGAGTTCGGGCTCCTGATCGAGTTCAGGCTCAGGTTCGGGCTGGCGGGGAGGTGCTCTTCCAAGGCCGGCGCCGTGGCGAGGGGGCGTGCGATTCAAGACGCGTCCAGCAAAAGGGTTGAAGTCCTCATCGTCGTTGGGTCCAGGTTCAGGAAGTGGTCTCGGAATGGGTATGCCACCAGATCGGCGTGGCCTAGACGCCAGAGCTCCGCTCACCCTCGATTCAAGAGCCATCCGCCGCGCTGGAGAGCCCAGGTTGGCTGATTCGACCGCAGTTGATCCCGACATATTACTCCTTGGGCGCGCAGGCCCTCTTTCTAAGAATCGCTCTGCCTGGCTCTCGGGTTGAGCGGCTGGGCCCTCGCCGGCTACATCTTGGGTAGTAGATTGCGTTGATGGGTTGCTGGAACCCGTCTTTGATGGGCTCAGACTTCGACTTCTTCTTCGCAGGATATCGGGATTCGTCCGGGACAGGCTTGCTCTCGTTGGCGACGCGAAGGAAGGTCTCCTGGGTATTCGCGATCGTGGTGGGGGAGAGTCCGGCGGAGTGGTCGATTCGTTATTGTCTTCGTCGCGTTCTCTGCTAAGGCGGGGAGAAACCCTCCGCCGCTTCGGCGCGGACTCTTCCATGCTCAATGGTCGTCTTGGGCTTTACTGAAGCATTTCAGCGTGGAGCTGGCAGCCCGAGTTGAATTTGCGGCGCTGGTAGTCGACCTTGGTAAGATGCGCGACGTTCTCGTCCAGCGGGTGCACAGGCGGCGCGTTGTGTACATGCGACTCCACCGCTTTCCTGATTGGGCGGACCTTGGGAAGTAAACAGGGGAGGTCCTCTTAGAGCTCCTTGAAGCGCATGTCTCTGTACAAGCATGCTCCAAATCTTGCCCAATGTCTACCGTATCTAAAATCGGTGTTTTATTTTTTGGTCTATAATGCTGATAGCACTATTGCGGCCATGCTTTCTCCGTTATTTACCAATGAAATAGGTTGTTTGAACTTCCACTACAGGTCCCTTCCTCACATGGGTACGGAGGACAAGTCCAGACGCGAGAGCACGTGATGACACCTCCCACCTTACCTAAGCAACGAATTGAGACCGATGACGTCCGAGGCTTTGATGACCGCATTCCAATCGCCCTGGTCTCTCTCGCCTCTGTAGTGACAGCAGGCCGGCCTCACTCAACCCCAACAATGCCCATCTCCAAGCTTCAACCCACCTAGATCTGGACTCACCAACGGAGCACACCCAATATGTCAGCACCCGCCAGATTCCTCCCCCGCCTCCGGCCTCTCGTGCCGCGCATCGCCCGTGTGCCCCGAGGTGCCTTCGTCACGAGCCAGTCGCAAACCGGCCCGGCACCCATCGAGCCCTCTCAGACCCAAGCGCACCCGCTGGGCGCCTACTACGATGCGATCCTCAACGACCCTCAACCCATCCCCGATGTGAAGCCCGAGGAGCCCCCAAACTCCTCCATCCACAAACAGGAGCAAGGCCGTAAGACGTCGCCTCCCTCCCCAAGCCCAAGCCCAAATCCAAACCCAACCACCGAACCCGTTGCTGAAGCTCTCTCCGCACAGCCGGTGCCGACGCCGCCGCCGCAAACCGCGGCTGAGAAGGCCGCCATTGTCTTCGGCTCCGCCCTAGCCGGCCCTGCCGCGCGCCAGAAGCGTCTCGAGGAGCTGCGTTCCAAGAGCACGACGATAGCGGGGGTGGTTATTCCCCCGCGACCGGAAGAGCCGGATAACTGTTGCATGAGCGGCTGCGTCAATTGCGTGTGGGAACGGTACAGGGAGGAGATGGAAGACTGGTCGGCGGCGAATGCGGAGGCACAGCTAAAGTTGAAGGAGCAGCAAGGCGCGAGCGCGAATGATTCGAATACCATGGATGACGACGGCGGCGGTTCCGATACCAACTGGGTGCCGCAGGATCCCAAGATTGCGAAGAATATGTGGGACGAGAAGCTCTATGACGATGTCCCGGTAGGCATTCGAGAGTTCATGAAAACAGAGAAGAAGCTGAAAGCTGTACATGAAAAAGAAGGTACAACTGGAGGCTGAGGGTCACGGAACTTGGTATTCGGTCCTTTCTACCTTCTTCTTTTTCGTCTCATAGCCTGCGTCGGAGGCAACCATCCTCAAAAGCCATCATCAGCGTCATCCATAGACATTTGTTACAATACACAATACCACGATCGTACTAGATTCTGGAAGCTGCGATGTCGGGATATTTACTCGCAAAGGCACCACCGCATGCGCCCTTGCCGCCTTTCGGCTCAAACGTCGGCTCCTGTCTTGCTTCAAGATGTGGCCGAAGATAGGAAACTGGGGTTGGGGAAGAGAGCATCAGGAGTGGCACAACTGCCATCTAGGCCGATTTGTCACATCTCAAAGTTGAGGGATAAAATACGTCTTCGCAAAGGCCCAATTTTTGCAAACTATTCGAGCAGAACTCTCAGTGTCAGATATCAACTGTTCGTTCTTGCCTTGACCTTATTGGTTTACATCGTTTTTCATCCCCATGCCGTCCCTTGTTCTTACATTTCGTCTCATTATTATACTTGCCTTCTTCAACTCACACTTCAGACTGCTTTCTTGTGTTCTCTTTCAATGTCTTCACGCCTGCGGCACCATGAAAGGGTCTCCCAACAGGATTTGAACGGCAGCCACGGTCCTCACAGCGGTGACTCGCTCCCGGGGATCATCGCAGACCCGAGTGGTCGCAGCCCATCACCAACAGTGAACATTCACAGGCTATTTGAATGCCTTTCCCAAAAGACCCCGTCACAATTGTTGCCCTGCCCATTGTTCTTTCTGGATTTTCTCCTCAAGTTCCTATCACTGTCGTTGCTCCATGTCATTATCGTTGCTTTTTATCACTGCTCATTATCGTTTCCGTATTCGTTATGGTGTTTCGAATACGAACGACCTGGTTACGGAAAGTGATAAGAGACGGCTCCTGCCTTTATTAACTGCCAGCGCAAGCTTGCAAAACTTCAACTTCCCGTCTATAAGCTGGCCTTCGCCCTGCCTGCCGGATTCATCAAAGCCGACCTCATTAGGGTTTCTCAAACCCGTGGGATGAATGCGGATACTGACGACTAAGCACCTGAGGGTGTCAATGGTCACCTTTTAAGGTACTCATCCTCTTCCCTCTTTTCCTCCTTTCCAGACTAACCATCTCACCACCACCAAAGATGGCATCCAGAGGCACAATCACTCCGCTGCCGGTCATCCGCGAGGAGGAGGGCTGGGAAGATGCCTCCTCCTCGTCGGATGACGACTACGATGAAGACGAGGACGAAAACCTCGATCCGCCGGAGGACCTGCTCCTCCCCCACGAGAGGGCTCGCCCGCCTTCTCCTCCCGCTCACTCGGCCCGACTCCGCCTCATCTACCACTCGAGGGCGTGGGAGACGCAGGTATACATGCTGAAGGATGGCAAGGCCCTCAAGGAGCGATCCTCCTACCAGAAGTTGAGCAAAGGATTCTTTGCTGCCGACGAGTTTGCGACGCTCCTCAGCCACTGGTCCAACGCGCTTCACGAGCAAGTCCAAGAGATCCTGGGAGTCGACCACCCCTACCTCTCGCGTCTCGTACTGCCGGCCGCGCCGCGCCAATTCAAGCTCATCAAAGGCACGGACGGCTCCAGCCGCATTCCTGATCAGCTCATGGAACCGTTTCCCGAAATGCAAGGTAGACTCGTCATGCAGAGAATGCGACCGATCAAGCCGACCATCATCCGTATCATCATCGACCATACCGTCGGCCGCGACTTCCAGAAAGAGGCTCTCACAATGCCAGAGAACTACAATCTCCACCCGAAGATCTGGCTTGGCTTGGTGCAGCCGCCCGAGGTCAAAGAGATGCTCAAAGAACACCCGAATCTCGCGACGCGACCCGCCTACCTCGACCAGCTCCTCAAGTTCATCGGTCGCCCCGGCGTCCTCGAGCTCGCGCGCAAGATGGGTACCGCTCTCGCTATCATTCACCACGATCTACAGAAGGACGCCCGTAACGTCAAGTTCCGGCTCGCGTACGATCCAACGCAGGACAAGCCTCAGCTCTGGGTCAGTGGATTGGGGAACATGGACGATTTGGCGACCAATGGGAACGACGACGGCTTCGTGGGAGATCCGGCGGGATACATCTAGGAGAACGAGCGTTTCTTCCCGCGGCCTGGCGTTGGTCCTGGTATCTTTGACGCGTTCTGGGCGGCGTACTTGATTGTCAGCGAGGCTATCATTCAGTGGAAGGAGGACATTTCGCCGGAGGGATCGTATCGGGATCAGGAGTTGAGAAAGTTGCTCATGGAGGCTCTATGCGCGCGTCTGAAGACGCTCTAGGTTATGTTTGTGCCAAGCTTGGTCTTGAGCTTTGCTTTCTTTGGGAGGACAATTGCTGCATTTACGAGGGCAGGGGACACAAGGTTTATTGGGATTGATGAGTTATCGCCAAGGGATACCCAGAGCTTATGCAAAGACACGATAGTCTATGCCACTCAAGATGTGCCATATGGTGACCCATCGTATTGCGCCCAGAGACCATTTCTAAAGTAGTACAAAAGCGAGAGTTTCATGAGACCGAGCATGTGAATTCGTACATGACCCGGTCAGGGCCAACAACCTACTCATCTCTGAGGGGAGACAATAGTCAACAGACAGTCGAGAGCATAGCAGCAAACAGTCCCATCGGCTCTCGCGGCCAGGGTCGGGAAGGAGTGGGTCTAAATTGGCATGTCATCATATTCGAAGCTCTCCACATCGACAACTCTATGTACATTGGGAAGACTCTCGTCGTTTCATGACTCGATGCTGACTGGGCCAAAGTTGAACGCGGCGACAGTTACAGCGTTGTTTTGGAGCCTGGAAATTCTCGTCAAATCTTCAATGGCAAGTGGCAGGTGGCAGGGGATGAAAATTCAGCACCAAGCTCTTTCCTCACTTGGGGCGGGAAGGAACTTTGGAAGGAGCGCAACACTTGATCCCTGCCATTTGAGAGTCACGCCGATTTCATTGGTAAATTAACACCGGAAGTGGGCTCCTTCACCGAGACAGACGGCGGGCTCCGAAGCCTCGGTATGATGTCCCTCGGTCAGCAGCCATTCACAAGCCACAGTCGGATGACTGGCATCCGGGGCGCAGCAGCCAGATCCATGCCAAAGTGGGTCTAAAGCAACCCGCTGGTCATCGCGGGGCTCGGGGCTCGCCAGACAAAATTTCTCTCCCAAGTGCCCGCCGCCATAGCCCATCAATCCTTGTTTGGATGGCGGGGTCCTCTTTTGCTCATCGATGGATGGAGGGGTCCTGGTAGGCCTGGCGCGCATCTTTTTTTTTTTTTCTTCCGTCCTCGTCTCGCGTGTGAATAGCGGCAGTCTCTCTTTCTCACTGGCAGAAACCTTGGGTCCCATTTCTTCCCTACTTAAGCTTCTTTTCCACTTGAAACTCACCCTTCTGTATATTTCCTCCCCCTCCGAAATATCCACGATCCATCTCTCCCGTTCTCTTTCTTCTTCTCTACATCCTCTCAAATACCAGACGTCAGAGACATCTCCAAATCTGCAGCATTCCTCCTACCCCGCAGTACACCCCGTCCACCAGCCGAATTCGAGTCAAAGAACCCCTCCAAACACCGCAAAAATGGTCGAAAAGCTCTACGTCACGTACAACGATGTATGTTTTTCCTTCCTTCTTCCAGACCCCTAGCGCTATTACTTTCTTATTCCAGTGTTGGGTTTCCGTGTTCGTGCAAGGTGTCGCAAAACATGGGCTAACAGATGTTCTTCTTCTTCCAGGTGCACAACCTCTGCCAGGAGTCCGCCGTCAAGATCCTCGAGACCTTCCAGCCCCAGCTCATCATCGCAATCGGCGGCGGTGGCTACGTTCCCGCCCGTATCCTCCGTTCCTTCCTGAAGAAGCCCGGCAACCCCAACATCCCCATCCAGGCCATCGGTCTCTCCCTGTACGAGAGCCTTCCCGAGACCTTCGGCGGCAACTCTACCCCTGGCGTCCCCGAGGTCCCTGGCACAAAGGTCACCCGCACGCAATGGCTTGACCTGACCGCTATCGGCGAGATGGAGAACCTCGTCGGCAAGCGCATCTTGATTGTCGACGAGGTCGACGACACCCGCACCACCCTTGAGTACGCCGTCAAGGAGCTGGAGAAGGACGTTGAGGCTGCTAGCCAGCGCCTCGGCAAGGGCCAGAAGACTGAGTTTGGTATCTTTGTTCTGCACGTGAGTCATATCCCCAAATCAATCGCAAATCTCGTTCGAGTTCAAACGTATTGACGTAACGGAATACAGAACAAGGACAAGGCGAAGAAGGGCACCCTTCCCTCCGACATGATGACCTCAGGTCACTACCTCGCCGCCCGCACCGTCGGCGACGTCTGGATCAACTACCCCTGGGAGGCCATCGACATTGCCGAGCACGACCGCCACGCGGCCGAGGCTCTCGCTGCGCGCCAGTAAACCCAAGGAGAGACTTTAGCATACGAGTAACATGAGAACGTGACGACGATGAGGGGCGAGGAGGATAGACGGACGGGGCTGTTTGGCGAAAGAAAGCCAGCATAGGGCGTATAAAAGGATACCAAGAGGGGTCATGCCGTCGAGCTGCCCACAAGCATACACATCACCAATGATATTTCAAAGTTATTTATTTCTGGACCTTCAGGCTTCTGACCCATGGCTGGGGGCGGCCACGGTTGGGGGCAGTGACTGACATGCTACATCAACAGCTTTGGAGATCTTTAAACATCAACGAGACAAGGCCGACGTCCTGAGCTGTCTTGCCTACAATTCTTGAGCAGCAGTATCTAGTCACACGATGGTCATTTACGCCCCTAGATGCTCAACCCACCAGACATGATCATAACATGCACAACAATCGAGTTTTACCACATTCGACCAAGTAAAACATTGATTCAATCAAAGACCTGCCTCCCATACGCTTGCTAAACTTTACAGATACTTCAAACAAGAAAAGATCCCCCCACTCGAAGCAGGAGCCCCGAGCATGTTCCATCAGATCTCTCAAGCCAACTCCGTCTCGATAACACTCTCAACCGCTTGCACCGGCCTCCAAATCTTTACAACCCGCAGTCCCGCCGCCGCAATCAACTCCCGCCACTGCTCCTCCGTCCTCTCGGCCGACGCCAGCCCCGCCATCATAATCATATCCGTTCTGTCACCTTCGAAAGCGGCGCCCTCTCGCTGATCAAGCTCTCGTGGATCAACAGCCTCGAGTAACCCCTCTCCATGGCGCTCGCGATATTCTTGAGGATATCCACCGCCGTGGCGTCAGGCCAGTCGTGCAGCACGTTATGCAAGAAGTACGCTCTCGCCCCGCGCAGCGGCTGTGGCGTAAAGAAGTCGTGCGCCTGGATCGTGAAGGCAGAATCGGGCTTGACATCCTTCAGAAAATCGGGCAAGTCCTGCAGGATGAGATGCCGCGCGGGAACCTGTGGGTGCCGAACATGAAATTTCCTCAAATCATGGCCCTTCCCGCCGCCGATATCAACAACCAACGGCCTCTCTGGGATCGCCCCCTCGATGATCTTGTGCGTGGGATACACCTCGGTCCACGCCGTGAGGTTATCCCGCGAATGGCACTCCATGACATCATTGAAGTCGGACGTTAGCAGCGGGTTCGTGCCGACGTACTTGAAGAAGACGGCGTCGGGCCCGCGCCAGTGCTGGAAGTTACAGTCGTTCTTGTCCGTCGGGTTCCGGTACCCGTTCTGCTTGAGGTAGTACGGCAGCGAGCGGAACATTGGGTTCGTCAGCTCGCCGTAGAAGCCGCCGTACATGGCCGGCAGAGGCGCGTCTTCGCCGAGGGCCTGGGCCCAGGGCGTGCGGGCGTAGGTGTCGAGGTCTGTTTCTATGACGAGGCGTTGGCCTGCTATTGCCCTCATCATGCGGCCTGTTTTTACCAGGTCAGTCTGTTTCTCATGGCTGAACGGGGTCTTGGATGTTCTTGACGTACGGATGAGGTGCTCGTCGGCGCCGGTCAGCTTTGAGAGCTTGGTACAGGTAATGGGTTTACCACCAGCCTCGTGCCACTGTTTGAATACGCCAGCGTCGATGAGCGTCTTGATCGCCGCGTTCCCGCCGCCCTTGACCACGATGTGATCCCACGCGATATCCCACGGCGTCTGGACTTTTCTCAACGCATCATACAATGCATCTCTGGCTCGTATCCTCTCCGCCTTATCCGCGAAGCTCTCCCCGTTGATGTCCTGAAGACTTGCAATCAACGCGTCTGCAGTAGCCATCCCTGCAAGTGTATACAGTGTTCGCTATAATGAAGTTGACGATGGGCCAAAGTTGCTGTTGCTGATGAATGACAAAGCTACAGAATAACAAGCTTTGGGAAGAGGACCTTACCGACGACGCTGACGACCGTTTTAATACCAAACCCGTTTGCCCCCAAGGCTCCGTCATGCTGCACACTGCGTGCCCGCCAAGCGAAGTGGCTCTCAATAGTCTCTCGGCTCTCTTCTCCAGGAACAATCGTAACTGCAGTCCACAATATCACCAAAAAACCTTCCAACCCCCGGTTCCAACAATCACTTTCACGATATGCATCCCAACGGCACAGCAGGCAAACAAATCTCACAACCGACTGCCCCCCCCCCCCCCATGTTCCCGCTGCAGGCCTCGATTCGACGGGTATTCCGACCGGGTTTCTGGGGGCGCTTAGAAGACAGAGCAGGAAGCAAACATCCCATGGCGAGCCAAAGCGCGCAATGCTCCCGGAGTCTTCAATCAGCTGTGCCGTCTGCGCCTCTTCAAGCAGCTTGACAGTTCTGAAAGACAGGCAAACATGCAGGCAGCAGGCTCCGCTGCAGGTTGCGGAAGTGCAGATGTACGGAGCGCAGTTACGGATATCCCACATGCGGCCCCCGTTCTTGTTGGAACCGGGCTCTCTCTCGTGGCTACCTAATCCTGCGTAAGCGTTGTGATTGCGAAGGGGGGTCCAGGGTGCAGCCAAGCAGATACCTCAGATACGGTGGATACGAACGAGCCGACCCATTCCTGAGGATCCGTATCCCCGTTTATTGGGACCGGTTCCGTTGGTGCCTTTTCGTCGTCGTACCTGTCTGTGATTATTCTCGATGCTTCGACCTGCCGGAGATGGAAAGTTGATCAGTTTTTCGCGTTGGTTTGTGATGCAGAATGCCAATGTGCGAGATTTAGATTGCGTCTTCTCGGGTGTTACAGCTGGATTTGGCATGGGGGTCGGCTGTGGCGGCTGACTGCACACTGGGTGGGTTCTTTCGGACTGAATTGGTGATGGGTCTCCGATGAGATTGGTCTAGGCCGCGATGTGTCCCTTGGCGGGAAGTCAGCTTTGGAAGAGGGTTCTTGTCTTCATGATCCTGGGTGAGGGTTAGTCTCACGAAGTTGATTGACAGATTTACCGGAACATAGTATTGAAGTTTTCCCTATTTACTTTGAAGATCGGTTGTAGTGGTCTGATGTTGAACCCTTGTACAAGCGTTTCCAATGAGACAGTACCTTATGTCGTCTACCCGTTCTATCAGAGTTTACTTGAGGCATGGGACAAAACTATTCGACGCTGTGCATACCTTCAGTGTGAATCTCGCGCAACATTGGGCGGGATTTGTCATCTTCTTTGATTTCTATAGTCTTGAATTTAAATTGTGGTGTTGGTAAGATGTGTCAATACAAATTCTATCAGGAATTGCCTCCCGCCCAGCTAAGACGTGGAGTCTCTAATGAACCAAGTTCTGTAATAGCATCTCATAAATGGCCTTGATTATGAGCTATTGACACCACATGTCAGACTAGGTTGACTGGACTCAGAGTTCACGTCATCTCGGCTTGAGTTTAAATCAAGTAATCAACGATATTGAGCACTCTCTACTCTTGGTCAAGTACCTGGCGAACTTCAACTAGTCATCTTAGACCGACGTCTATCTAGACACATTACTCTAGTGACGATGCCATGCATGTGTAGATCCACATCTGTCTGTTAGACCCGGCAGACATCGAAACTTGTTTCTTATGGAAGATCATGTCAATATAATTTATCTTGACTCAACCAAAGGCATGCCAAAATCCCTTGCGGCCACTGCCATCATTTGGAGTGCTTTCTTCCTGCAGCAATGCATTGATTCTAGCCATAACACCATCCAAGACAGCTTCAACCATCCCTTCGGGAGCCATCCCTCCCTCGGTACAAGCATTGATGACAGTGTCGCCGCCCGCAACCCCCGCCACATTGAACACAATACCATGGTAACCCACGGCACCTTGTACCGGGCCGGCCGAGAACTGCACATCCTCAATCTTCACCACCGGCTCTTCAACATTCGAAGACGGAGGCGCGATCTTGAGACATCCGACATTGGAGACTGAAAAGCTGTTCTGCATGAAAAGTCCCATCGACGGCAACTTCTCGGTGAACTCCTCGAGGCTTGGCCCAAGAGCATTGCCGCTGATCCAGGCCTTGTAAAGATGAGACTCTTCCCCGCCGCTCCGCGACTCCACCATTCGTCTCCCATAGTCTCGGACTAGGTCCCAAGCGGCTTTGGAATCGACGGTCGCGGTAAGTCCTTTTTGCTTGTCGCCTACGGAGGATGATGGTGAGAAGGCCTGGCGGTACTTCCTCAGTTTCTCCGGCTCAGGGAGACTCGCAGCCAGGTTGAGCAGTTTACCCTCGTCCGAAGAAGCCGTGTCGAAGCAGCCCGTGGCGCGCATATCCACGGCGTACCGGGTAAATCCGACTTCAGCGTGAGGATAGAAGTCTGCTGCGAGGGTGCCGGCGACGACAACAGCCAGAAACGGCGTGAAAGTTGTTTCATGCGCGCGGCACGCTTTGATGATGGCGTCCATCTTGTCAGAAGGAATACGACGGGTCGTGACCTTTGTGACGGTACGGTCCGCGGGCCCAACGACAGCCATCGGGTCCTTGAGTAGCTCCTTCGGCTTAGGAAAGTTGATGAAGAAGAGCTTTTTAGCGTAGAAGAACCGGTAGAAGAGGAAGACGAGGAGATTGTAGATAACGCCCAGGACCGCTGGTTTCTTGTGGATCGTGTTCTCGAGGGCCATGCTCAGTCGTACCCTGTCGGGATCGAGCTTGATGATGCGCGTTGGAGTGGAGCCCGCGTCGGAGACGGCTGATACATTAAGAGCATCCAGTAGCTCGCGGTGGAATATCATACCGAACGCGCCGTCACAAACGAGGTGGTGGTAGACGAAGACAACGTCTCGGCGTCCGATAACGATGATTTTCCACCAGGGCACTCCTGCCTCGACTGTACCATCAGCCCAGTGCCATTTCCCATGGAGCTTTTCGAGGAACTCGGCGTCGACTTGGGTTGTCTCGTCGTCGATGAACTCGACGCAGCGTTCGAGATTAATCTCGTTGAGTGTCGCGAGAGACAGGAGATGCTTGCCCTCCTCGGCGGCGGGCCCTACTACTCCGACGAGACCGAGCTCTGGGAACTTGGTGACGACAGCGTGGAGAGCTGAGAAGACTGCATCGTCGGATAGGATTATACGCTGCTTGCCCGGTTGGGCTGAGGCGTAGCGAGCTGCGACTAGAACATTGGATTGGATTCCGAGGCGATGGTAGACGTAGAACATGCGGTCGAGATTTGCTGGCAAACATTAGCGTCGAGCAACTTCTAGTAGCGCCAACTGAACATACTCGTTTTACGAACAATCGTGTAATGGCTCGAATCTGCGGCCCCATCGCTCGCTCCCTTGGTCGCGATGACACTGGTTGTAGTCGCCATTTCTGGAAGTCGTCAACACGGGCAAAAGCAGTCTGTCATTGACACAAGAAACTAGAAGGCTTCTAGCTTCTAGCCTGGCAGGTAGCTGCATTTTAAACCACGGATCCAGCACCTTTTAGCCACCGTGCTGGAATCTGTTACAAAGATGAGTTGCATTAGTTGAAACGCCATTGAGGTGCAGCTGCGATGTTTGGCGATGCCGGAGCTTAACGTGATGCTCCAAGCGCAAAGTCTGTGAGGCGAAGGTGCAGAGGTAAGCTAAGAGCGTGTAAGTAAAAATCCGAGGTTTAGTCTGTGGCAGTTTGCCTGTATGAGATCTGGTCCGTGTAAGCTACTCATCTCCAACCTCCCCGTCGGGGACAAATATGACATGGCGTCAACGACTCAGCGGGAGGGGACGGAAGCAATATTGACAAGCCCCTCCACTGCCAGCGATGATCATTTCTTCAACCAGGCTGTCAAGATATAGCTCAAGTCACATTTGAGCTCCCGTCAACGTGTCAAAGATCGCTGCGCTCGGACATGGAGGATGACTCGGCCGACACTAGGATCAACTGGCACGTGGCTGAAGTCTAAGGGCAGATCTCTCCGGATGTCACAACGGTAATCCGAACCAACCTCGACGATCGCATGAGACTGGGAGGCGACGAGGATACCGAGTGCGTGTCATTACCAGATTATGATATTCATCGTCTATGGGTATCCGCTTCTTTTCGTACAAAACGCACACATGAGCACATCACTCAATTATCTTCTTCCTCCACACCCACCGGCCCGCTTTGACAGCATCGCCAAATCCTTACAGGGCCTGGATCCAATCGCGAAGAGTCTTCTGGATCTCGTAGCTGTTCTTCTCCATGAAGAACATGTGGCCGTTGCCGTGGAAGCCGGCCTCGCCGAGCTCGAGGTGCTCCGTCTTGCTGCAGCCGGCCTGAAGAAGGAACTCGACGCTGCAGTGGTCGTAGGGAGCGTGGTAGGACGCCTCAGAGGTAACGAGGAGAATGGGCTTGTCGGCGAGGTTGACGAGCTGGCGCGGGGCGGGGGTCTCAGCCTGGAGCACGCACTGGACATAGTTCTCGCCCTTGGCAGGGTAGGTCTGCTGAACGAGGTCGGTGGTGGGATCCGTGACCTCGGGTGAGTAAGTGACGGGGATGTCAGTGAGACCGTAGGCGCGGGCGGACTTGTTGCTGAAGACAGCCTCCTGGAAGGGAGGGCCGGTAGGCTCGAGGAGGATGAGAGCCTTGGTCAGCTCGGGGCGGGCGTCGGCGATGATGATGGGCATGAGACCGCCCTGGCTGTGACCGAGAACGACGGCGGGTCTGCCGATCTTGTCAAGAAGGGCGGCACCGGCGGCCTGGACGGTCGTTTGCTGGTAGGTGGCATTATTGATGAACTGGACGTTGGAGCTGTAGAAGGCATCGAAGACCTCATCACCCATCATGCCGGTACCGGGCCACTGAGTGTGGTTGACAGCCTGGGGCCAGAGCATGTACTCCTTGACGGCGGTG